CTCTTGCAGTAATAAATTCCATTAGTTTGGCTGGAAAGAGGCTAATGAGGAGCATACAAGGAAAAAGCATCACTTCTTTAACTTAGGTAATTGGAAATGTAAATGTCTACCACAAGGTCAAGAGAGCTGATGTTGCAGAGGACATGTTTCTCTGGGCTTTTTCTGAGGAAAGTTCTGGTAGTAACCTTACTTTACCTATCCTGAAGCAGATTTCTGAAGGCACTTTAACACGCTGAATTATTTTAGGTGTTAGAACAGGTTTTTCAGAATTAATGTCTCTGTTTAAAATGAGACTGAACCCTTTTCTAGACAATAGTAGCATAAGTCTTTTACCTGGTGTTTTTCAGATTTAAATTCCATAAAACTACTGATAATGTCAATTGCTTATCTAGAGGGAAAAGCTGAGTTTCACTGGGCAATCAATTAGTAAGTTAAAAAAGAAATATTCCTGTGGTTTTATTGACCAGACTTAGACTGTGAGCTGTAAAAGGTCAGAGAGGTGGGAAGGTGGGTTAGGTATTCCTTTTGAGCCTGCTTACTGAAAACATTTTGTTACATTCACAATTTCTGTTCAGCTTTGATAGGTTGGAGGACACCTTGTATTCTAAAGAACTTAATGAAATCTAAAAAAAAAAGTGATACCCTTTAGTTAACATGTTGGCTTCCATTTTTTGTTGTGTATTAGGGAACTTTATGCAGTATCTGCTTTTGTTGTTGGTTGGTTGATGAGCTTGTACATGGGTGGTTGCAGATATGCTAGGATTTAAAAGGCTTAATGGCATACCTCTGCAGAAAATCCTCTTAGCTTATTATGCACTTTGTTTCACCCAGGTAAGTTTAGTGCGAAGTGAAATATATAAGAAAAGATAAAAATCTCTTTAAAGTATTTTTGGTATTTAATGCCATTTTTTATATGGGATTATGGTGCACCACTTAGCAAAAACCTAACATGAAGTTGGGTATAAATGTGAGACAGAATTTTTGGGGATCCTGTTTTGACCATGTTGTGTGCAATCCATTGACTTTCCTTTAATATGGGCATCCTCATGGAAGTGGATATCAAATGCTACAGCAAGTGCTGACTGTGAACTCCATAATTTTGTTTTAAATGTTTGGGGTTTTGTTTGTTGGGGTTTTTTTTGTAGAGAAATGGGCAGAACAAATGTTGTTGTCTGTCAGATATTAGAAAGCATCAGCATTTCTGAATGAGGTTATCTTATTCTGTAGTCATGTCAAAACATGCAAATACTGAATGAGTTCAATCTAAATAGTGATGAACAAGGGGCAACAGTTTTCAACTAAAAGAGGGCATTGGGAAAAATTCTTTACTGTGAGGATGGTGAGGCACTGGCACAGGTTACCCAGAGAACTTGTGGATGCCCCATGCTTAGAAGTGTTCAAGGCCAGGTTGAATGGGGCCCTGAGTAACCTGGTCTAGTGGGTGGCATTCCCTGCCACAGCATGGCGGGGGGAAGGGCTCGCATTGGAACTGGACATCCCTTCCAATCCAAGCCACTCTCTGATGACTCAAGGGACTTGTGTCCTAATCTCTAAACTGTCTACAAAATATTACATTTATAAACATATTTACCTTGCTCCCTTTTTCAGCAAGTCCTTTGTAAGTGAGGTTTCACTCACTTGCATTTGAATTGATATATTCAACCCCTTTGTGGGGCTCAGTATTTCTGGTTGGCAGTCGCTACATGCAAATGTCAAATCTAGACATTACTGAGCATACATTCTCAAAACATCTGGGAACAAGCTTCCCATTCCTTCTTATTTCAGAAATACATCCTGTAGTTGAATGACTGTATCCTAGCATCAGCTCTTTCTTTCAGTGGAGAGAGAAGGAAAAGAGCATCCTTTTAAAATTACCAATGTCTTTATTTTTGCTTATAACAAAGTTAACTGCTGGGTGCAACTCATCAGTTGGTAAATGTAAGAACACTATCTAGCATGAAGAATGAATTTCTCTGTTTGGAATAAGATATGTTCTCTTTTTGGAATAAATATGTTCTCTGGTATATACTAGTAACTATATTACTGCATTGTAATTATAATATTGATTTCCTATTATTGTTGTTGTTGTTATTATTATTATAAGCAACTGCTGGGAAAATTATTGGAAAAGGATCTGGAAAGCTGCAAAACAAAATTAGAAGTTTGCCCTTTGAACAGTGACCCCAATAGGGTATAAACTTCCACTTCCTCTGTTGTAAAAGTCAGGGCAAGTAAGTGTTGGATGGCTGTGGACAGAACTTACAGTTCTATATGTCGGGAATGAAAACTGGTTATGTATTAAAAGTTTTCTTGAATTGTCTTATAGACAAATCTTACATAAGTTTGGGGGGTTTTTATGTTAGTACAAGCAAGAAGTTTTCAAGGAATCCTCACTTCCCATCTGTTACATAAAACCTAAACTGCAGTGGCAGCTTCACAATACAGTTATAGATTCTGGACTTCATATATACTTACTGCAAAGCTTAATGCTCCCTTCAGTCCTGACACTGCAGCATACATCTGCTTGATGAGTTATTTACAAGCTTATACAGCTGCTTTCCTTAATTCCAAGCATGTTATTGTTGGTGCTATTTCTCAGCAAGTTGCAGGGAAAATTTTCACTGACCAAACCAGTCTCTTTTGTCATTTTAACTTACTGTCATTTAGCTTACTTACTGTACTAAGGGTTTTAATCTAAAGCCATAGATGTAGATTACTTTCTCATGTTAAATTAGCCATTGAAACAGAGTAGTTGTGTGAAGAGATTAACAAACTATTCCTGCAAATTTTCCAGTCCAATTTGATGTTAACAGACTTCTAGCAGTTCTTGTTAATGATGAAATTCCCTGGTTAAAATTATAATTCATTTTAGAACAGCTTAATATTAGTGCATTTTAATTGCCCTGAAATAACAGAACTGACTGTTTCACCCCTATGCAATATGTGCATCTACAGAAATAACTAGTATCTGAAATTACAGAAAATAATGAAGTTTTTAGAGCCCTTTTAGTATCACTTGTTCCTTCATTAGAGCACATATAGTAGAGCGACCTCAGTTGTACAAGGAGCCTTTCAGTTACTGGATGGGATTCGGACTGAAAGAAAAGAGGAATCCCTGACCCTTCTTGGGAAGGTGAGAAGAGGGAAGAGATATAATACCAACTTTATAGTGCATTAGTTGGAGCTGATAGTTTTGGACAACCTGTTTCTTTCTTTGGTACAAGCTCTTCTCGCTGTGTTGACTGACATTAACAGCACCATTCAGTTGTCCAATTCCAAGTTGCTGGTGGCATTTAAGAAGCATTAGTGTGCTCAGAACATCCATGTGGCAGATGCAGAGTGAGACCTGTGCTCTGAGGTCAGTTGCTGGATACCATGAAGGATGTTCAAGGGCATTTTGTTTTGTGCTCTAGAGAGTATTCTTACTAGGTAGCTGTATATAGGCACCAAATAAATCTATCAGAAATTATTGTGAAATGATCATATATTTGCTAATGCAAATGAAGCATTTTTGAGTTTCATCTTTCAGCAACTTTGAGAAACCAGCACAGGTATAGTTAGTTTGTCTTGCTTTGAGAGGTTTGTAGTCTATACTTGCTTGGTTTTGGAGCTGAAAAAATATACTGTCTCACAGATTAAGTATTATATATTTTTACACTAAGCATGCTGAATTCAGTCATGCTTAAATCAACTGGACTACTGAACTAATGATAAGATATCAGAAGTTGTTACCTACAGGATTCTTAGCAAGTGACAGACATCGACTCCAAGTGTCACAGATTGAAGGTAACTTTTTCCTCTATGAAACAAAACTTGTAACACAGTTGAGGGAATTCTGCTGCTGTGGATAGGAATGCTGGCACAAATGCAGAGGGGAAGGAAAGGTTAGTTCAGGCATGTGTAGCATTCCAGCTCCTGGGCTGGAACTCTGCAAATTAAAATCTTCTGTCCATAAGCACCTAGTTCTTTCACTGACTTATGGAAGGACCTTGACTGTGGTAGGAAAGTTGGATATATTTGCAGGCACTTTGGCAAAGATGATAGAGAGTAAAATAAGGGTTGGAGTTTTTTTGGAGGGATTTTGGGTTTCTTTTCACCCAATTCTGAGAGATGGAATTTAGGACCTTGAACATATTCAACACTGGGATGAGTCACCATATAGCATTGTTTTTTGCATTTGAATAGTAGTGTTGGGATTAAAGAACTTCATCTTTAATTGCTAATTTTGAGTAGCTTCTTCACTTTGTAGTTACTTTGCCTGTTATCTTTGCTTCTCTGCGCTGCTTGACTTCCTTTTGGAAACTAACTACAAGGTAAATTCTTCTTAACTGAAACTAAATGTATTTAAACAAATTTCTCCTGTTATTGGTCATCTGGGTTTTTTTTTAGTGGTATGATATATCACAATACTTGAGAAACAGTTTCTTAAGCTCTCATACTATAATTGTGTATAATTTACCAACAAAATCCCTCTGCAGACATCATTTATTACTGTATAAAATCTGTCATTTTTAGGTTAAAAAGAAAAGAAAATCTTCACTGTAACTAAATTAAACAGGTTGGTGGCTTGTAACAAAGTTGTCATGCTTATTTCAAAATCTTGAAGTGGTAAAAGTAGAAATATTTCAAAAGAAAATTCTTTCATAATCTGTCTGTTAAGCTAGAAGTTGAAGGGTTTTTTCTGAAACAGATAATAAAACCTGAGTAATTTCAGATGTCTCCAAGAAGCTGTCTTATCAGTCTTGAAATTTCATATGCTGAAGACTGAGGTTGTCTTTATTAAATTTTTAACATCCTAGAAATCTTTCTAAATGACAGTTTTTGGAAATACTCATTAATTTTTCCAGTGTGCTCTCATTCTTAAATAGCTTGTTCAACTTATAATCTGAAGTCTTTTTGAAGGTGTGTTTGAACATATAATACCCAGAGATTTAAGTTGTCTGCAGATGACTACATGATTTCATTGTACCTGACTGTCAAATGTGTATTTATCTATTCAGGTTCAGACAAAGAAGGAAGAAACTTTGCCACCATCACACAGTCAAAACATTCCAACTTTTTATTTTCCTCGAGGATGTCCTAAGGAAAAAGTGAATATAGATGCTGTGATTGCCAAAATTGAGAAAACTTTCTCTGAATTTCCAAATGAGAGGGCAACATTAGAAGACATGGGGAAGGTTGCAAAGGTGAGAACTTGCTTGCTGTTCTGAACTCCTATGGAAAGGAAAGATGAGTTCTATGTGCTTTATTTTATTGTATTATGTGTTTTCATCTCCTACAAGTTAGTACCCAACAATATTCTACGTTGTTGATAGCACAGTTATGTGTGTAATTTTTTTGCATTAACTGTGTATCAAATGACCTGACAAAAAGAAACAAACATTAAACCAAAACTTGAACTGCTTTTTTTGCTGCATGGATGACCAAATACTAAAGGGCACATTGTATGTTGTTCTGTGTTCTGTGTTGACCAAGAGACTTAGGGCAAAAGCACTGTTAATACCTGTTTTGTTTTCAGGTGTCCACACTGTTTTTTCTCATTTGGCAGGGTCATGAACCTCCACTGTAAAGACACTGAAAGACAGAATGGTTCGGTAACTTGAGATTATAGCTTTCTAGTTATTACTGAAGAGCTAATTCAGAGTTATGGCAGAGTGACAAAATACTGAGCTTAGAAAGCAGCAAATATTTTTAAACTTCTGTGTAACAGACAATAAGCCAGTTAAACATAAATTTCCTTTTTTTTTTTTTTTAATATTGAATCAGTGCTTGAAAAATCACTGCAAGTCATGGTCTTGGTAATGAGTTTCAGGTTCTTATCCCTGTTCCTGTCGCTTTGCATTTAAAGTTCAGGGTCTAGAAAATAGAAACTAAGATTCTTCACAAAAGCAGGACTGGGGGTTCAGAGACTCCTTGTTTGCTCACTGAAACTGTTTAACCACTAAGCTGAATGATAGGATCGCTGCCTTCCAGAGCTCCATCCAACATAAAAGTGGGGAGGCATGAAAGAGACCCTTCCCTCTCAGCAAGGAAGGTGGAAAGGTCCAGTCACCTACAATTCAGTGATGAAAGGCACCCTCCTGAAGAATAATACAAAGCCTCTTTGTCTGTCAGACTCACCTTTTCGTATTAGTTTGAAGCACCAGTTAAACTATTGCATGAGAAGCAACTGTCCTTTTGCTTTGGTGACCTTATACATCTTGCAGTATTCACAATCTTATTTGAGATTCTTGGAGATGCCGGCATCTCTGAGTGCTCCCAGCTGTAGTCAGTTTTAGGCAGGATAAGCACTTTGCTGAGGAAGGTTGGAGCAGACACAGAAGCAGCACTGTGGGTGTAGAAGGGAGCACTGAAGTGGTGAGGGTTGTAACTGGTACTGCTGCTCAGGGCAGGCCAACCTACAACTTAAAACTGAGTAGAAGATGTGCCATGCACGTGGAAGGATGCAGATGAGTTGAGCCATCCTCTGAGACAGACAAAGGTAAATTTGCTCCAGTTCAGAAGTTTTTTTACTGTTTGTGCTGTCTTGAGGTTAGCTTAAAGATAGCCAGCTTGTTAACATTGACTCTGTTCAGCTGCTTGGAGCATGGACAGAGCAGACATGCCAGTGCTTTCATCTGTTAGGAATGCTACAAGTTGCACTGTGTTTTGCTTTCCACTTTTGGACTTCAGCCTAGAGCAGTTGCTAAAAATGAATTATTTTGGAAGGCGCAGTTGTTTCAGAAGCAGTTTTTAAAAAATCTGTGCCTTAATGTTTTCTTCTGAACACTTGTAAAGTGTAATTTTTGAAAGATCTATAAATAAGGGAGTAACCCTCAGATAAGCAAGCAATAAACTGATCTGATGTACGCTTTATTGTAGGCTTGTGAATGCCCACTTTACTGGAAAGGTCCCTTGTTTTATTGTGCTGGAGGTGAACGAACAGGATATGTGTCGGTTCATAAATTTGTTGCAATGTGGCGGAAGTAAGTAGATTTTTTTTTTTTTTAGAAGTACTGCATTTTATTCATTGAAATGTGATATTTAAAGCTCTGAATGCAATCCCATCTGTAAAGGGGAATAAAACACTTCGTCATAACCAACCATTGACAGCAAACTTCTACCTGGGAAAATGTAACTAAATAATACTTTAATATCTTAACATAAACAAACAAATCTTCATTTACAGAGTTTATAGATTTTAAAATGCATGTTAAATGACTGGCTATTTATGGGAAAAGTAGCCCTAACTTGTAAATGCCAGTTGTGGACAAAATGCCTTTTATTCTGTCTAGTTCTCCTCTAATGCTAACTTAAATGTCTATTCATGTAATCAATTACATAGTATACCCACTTCCTTTAGCAGAAATGTATGAGACAGTACTGCTTTGATAAGTTCACTTGGAGCATAGTTTGACATTTTTAATTAGCTTTTGAATTAAATGTTGTGGTTGCAGTTTCATAGGCCTTGGTCTAGGATGCCTGCATGAGGTAGCATGATTAATTTTCTGTGTAGAATATTAAATGGAAATATTTACATTTCAGAATACTTCAGACCTGCTATGATGATGCTGCAAAGTTTGTTCATCTTCTTATGAACCCTGGATGTAACTACTTGGTGCAAGAAGACTTCATTCCTTTTTTACAAGTAAATTGCAACTGAAACTAGTTCTGGAAACACAACAAAATGATGAACTGGCAAAGCCCTGAATTTTTTGACCTAAATGTACTTTTTCATTGTCATTATTAAAGTTTATTGATAATATTTAGTGCAACTCACTTTGCATGGTCCACTGAGATGCTAGTGAGTGACTTGTTTACAGTTAATCATTTTGTATAAGGTGAAGACTTTTTTAAGAGCTACAGTAAGATGCAGGGATTTAAAATTGCTTGCAGGAATAGCACAGCTATTGGAATCTTTTATGTTTAGGAAGGCAGCTGAAGTTATTTAAGTCAGGGTGGGCCTTAGGAGGGCAAAGGAAAAGTGGCATAAGAATTCAAGACCTGATAAAGCTTCGCTGAAGGAGCAGCAAACACCACTGAATAAAACCTAAATTGACTTTACTGACTCATAGGCAGTCACAAAATTACAAGCTACAGCAGTCAGCAGTGTTCAAAATCTTTAGCCTATCTAAAATACAGGCCAAAAATCCTATAATATTCCTAAAATATCTGAAAGCTTTTGTCTATATGGATTCTTTAAAAGATAATTTTATTTTTAAGAAGTCTGTAGTGTTATTTATGTGAAGCATGTTGTAAATGAAGTTATTATTAATGGTTGTGGTGGTTAATTTGAACTGTTTTGGTTAAGAAAGCAGATGTGCTATTCTGTGCTAATTGTTTTAGTAGCCACTAATGAATACTCTTTGGGATATTGTTATTCCTTTTTTTTGTAGGATGTGGTGAATAGTCATCCAGGCCTTTCATTTTTAAAAGAAGCGTCTGAATTTCATTCTCGGTACATTACAACAGTAAGTGATTTGTATTTGGAAAAGCTATTTTTTTGTTAACTAAGTCAAAATTTGGATTAATCAGTATGTCTAAGCATCTTTGTCTCTTGAGAAAACCAGAGTTAAGAGTATGCTGTCAGTCTTCATTTCTACATAACTAGAAATATTGTGAAGAAAAACTATGATGCTTAAGAAAGAGTCTTTCTTAACATGTATAAGAAATTGCTGAATTTAATACTAGTGAGAGAAGCACTGAATTGTAAGTGTTGGATAAGTTAATGAACATTAAGCAGGCTGTTATCTTAAACACTTGATTGTGGCTGTAGACTGTACTCATTAGAATCCTGACCTTAATCTGGGATTAATTAAATGAAATCTTGAATGAAACATCTATATTAATATGATTATGTTCAGTGTTAAGTGAAATAATGATAATGTTGAAACTGCTTGCCACTTTCCTCTCTGGGGACTTTTCTTCTTAAGAAGGTTTTATACATGAAAAGTTTCATTCTGTCTTCCCAGGGTTATGTGACTGAAGTATTTTTTTCTGTACCCAAGGGAAAAATCAGTGACATTAAATTTTCTCAACTGTAGACTAGACAGCCGATTCCACTGAAGTCTCAAAAGATTAACATTCTTCAAAATGACATTCAGTTCGCTTTTTTGGTGCATTTGAAAACTAGCTTAATGAATATTCTCCAACAAAAAACATGCAGAGTTGATTATCTTTTATCCAGCTTATATTTTGACCTTGGCTAAAATTGCAGAAGCTTTTTCTGAGAGCATTTGGTTTTGATTTGTTACATCCTTCTTGCAGAGACTTGCTGGCCTATCCAGTATGTCCTGCTGCACTAGGTTTTGCTTCTTGTTATAATGATTATGTGAGCTCCCAGAACTTTCTTGTCCATTGTGGCTGAAGGAAATGTTCTGCCTGTGAGCTCTTTTGTTGCTTAATGGATTCTGGGTTGTATCAAAGCCTTCTCTGGTTAAAATTGTGAAAGCTTGCTGCCTGTTCTGAAGAATAGTAGGAAAGAAAAGATCCTGCCTTTTCAGTTGCTTTTCTTTGCAGGAACTAGCAATATAAAGTAGTCTAGCAATATTGAATAAAACAGTGCTGGCAGTACTTCACTAACAAAATTTAGTGTAGTCTTCAACAGAAATTGGTGCTTAATCAAAAATCCCAAAAGTAAACTAGTATTTGGAATACTAGTTTAAAGATTAAGGAATGGCAGGAGCACTCTGCCCTTTCCTGTCATATTTTAGGATGGCATAACTGTTGCCTGATACAGTCTTCTAAAATTCTCCCCTGCAAGTTATTACTGATAATTATAGATCATTTTCCCTAAGATGAATACATTACTTGTATGCAATTAGTTTCACTTCACTACATGAAGTTTTGTCTAAAGGATACTTCCAGTTGCAAACCAAATGAGCTGTTCTTCTGCTGTGTTTTTGTAAATACATGCATATATGTGTGTGTGTGTGTGCATATGCATTATATACGTGTCTTTAGCGTGTGTCTTGTGTTGTTCAGCCATGGAACCAATCTGTTCTGTCAGCTATTCTATAGTATAAGTTGGTTGGTCAGTCTAGTGGTAAGATAAGGTACATGTGGCCAAGATGAAGCTGAAATATGTTAAAAACGTTTGCCCTGACAAATGAGATAATACATTTATTCTGCAAGGATGTTATGTGCATATCTGAACTGTGAATTCTTGACATTGTAATCTCTGTATTGCACCATTTCCTCTCCCTTCTGACAAAGCACTGTGCAGCATAGTAAACAAGGCAATTTGCTTATACTCTGCCTCAATTCACTTTAGAAAACAGTTTCAGTCTGTTCCCAGTTGTCTTTACCAAACATTCAATTTTGTTTTTATTTTTAGACCAGTTAAATGTATAACAGATGAGATAATGACATGCAGAAGGATTAAGTTGCAAAGCTAAGGCAAAAACCTTTTTAGAAAAAATTACTTTGTAGTATAAGCCAAAAATAGACCTTCCCTAAATCTCACAATTAGAATTAAGTTAATTAAGTTTCAGAAGTAGGGTAAGATGTTCTTCTATCTGGAGTTATTGAACCGGCTGTTCTTGTTCGAAGTAAGAACTGAAGAGCTAACTGCTCTACCGTTTAAGATTTATGTTAAAACTTCATAAATAAATTATTCTTCTATTTGTAATTCAGAAATTATTGGTTAGTTTAAACTATTGACTTACTGTAATTAAAGTCTGAAGTGATAAAAACTTAAGTCTTTAGCTGGGAAGACATTTTAAATGGGGGGAAGGGGTTCCTAAAGAGGTGGGAGTTTTAGCTGGTAACTGCTCTGTTACAAATGAAACACTACACGTGCAATATTGAGTCTTGCCAATTAGCAGGTATAATCAATCACCAGTTGAGCAGTTATCATTCATGACATGTTTAGATTTTTTTGTCTGTTTTTGTTTAGTGGTGAATGACTGACTTGACATGTATATCTGGTTGACATAAGATAACCTAATTGAGGTGAATATCAAATTCAGTTAAGTAGCAGGAAAAACATATTTTAAAATCTTATGTTTGTAAACTAAATCCAAACAAATTACACCAAATGCATGAGTTGTCCAAAATAGCCATCAAGCCATTTAGGTTGGAAAAGACCTGTAAGATCATCAAATGGATGTATGTGTAAAACTGATTTAAACAATAGTCTTGGGTACTCAACTGAATGCATTTGTTTCTGGTTCCAGTATCAGTCAAGGCACAAGAACTAGTCATCTTTCTTACACAGATTTTATTAATATTACTATTATTGTTGTTGTTATCTTAAAAATATTCGTGTACTACATCTAATGCTATCAACAGGGTTTTTTCCCAAGAAACTTAAAATAGAATACAATTAAATGAGGGAAAAGCACATTCTATCTGCACTTGCAGGAAATATTTCTGTCAAATGTTGATTTGTTGTGTTTGTGAACTTCAGAAGTAGTAACATCTGCTGTACTCTGATCCTTAAATTCTACTCCCAATTCTATTTCGTTAAATTCATTTATGAAGTAAAACAGTCTTATAGCAAGCATACAGATGTTTAAATCTGAAGTAATAAGGTATATTAATATGATTATTAGATGATATCCTGTAGATCTGGAAGACTGGGAGGTAGTGAAATTGCCAGTAGACATACTTTCGATAGCATACAAGTATTCTGCAACATTACTGAGTGAGATATGAGTACTGCAGCATTGAAATAAAACTTGTCTACATGAGTTTAGATATAGATTTAGGAATGGGTTGGTAATACAACACAAGAGAAGCATCAACCTATTAAGTTATTAGAAGAATAGAAATAGGAGAAAGATGGAGCTCTCTAATGCTGAACTAAGACATCTTTGACAAATGTTTAGGAGGCATAGTTAATATTTCTTTCCATTTTCTGTTTCTTGCAGGTTATACAGAGAATATTTTATACAGTAAATAGATCCTGGTCTGGAAAAATAACTTGTAATGAGCTCAGGAAAAGCAACTTTTTGCAGGTACGTAATATCTAAAATTTTACAAGACAGTTATTTCTAGAAGTTTTAAAATTGCATTAGCTAATTGCTTAAGGGAGTAATGTAAGTAGCATTTCTTCCTTTTCTGAAAAGTGGTGAAGACCCAATTGCATTAATTCTCATACATTGCAATATGTTTAAATGTAATTTCTTCTATCCAGAGCTGTATACATGCAAATGTGTTTAGCAGAAGTTGGGCTGATATACTCATTCTTCTGTGAATGCATTAGTTTTCTACTATGTGTGTATTCAGTCTTTGCTGTCATGCTGTACAGTGTTCATTGTCCCTGAAGATAAAAATTGTTCCACTGAAATAGCGTAAGATGTTAACTAGGTTGTGAGAGCTCAGATCATTCAAAACATCTTACAAACTCTTTAACGTGTTCTGTTTATCCTTCTGATAATAGAATGTGGCATTATTGGAAGAGGAAGCTGATATTAACCAGCTGACAGAGTACTTCTCATATGAACATTTTTATGTTATCTATTGCAAATTTTGGGAGCTGGATACAGACCATGACCTCTATATTGATCGGAAGGATTTAGCTCGACATAACGATCATGGTATGACAAACGAAGCACCTTTGTTTACATGTATTAAATGACCTGTGAACTTTCAGCTGATGAAGTGGTTAAATGCCAAGGCTGGTGTTCATGAGTCTGTTGGTGTTGGTATAGTTGATCCTGCTGATTCAGTGAAATAAAGCAGGACGAGTCATCTGTGATGCTGCTTTGCATCTACCAATGCCAGATTTGAGGAATTTGAATTCTGATCTTGGCAAAGAAGTAGAGGAAATATCATTTAAGTATTGATGTATTATAAATGGTTGCATTTGGCAATTTTGTGTTGTTACCTTGGAAATTATCAATTATACTGATATTATTCAAGTGCCATGGCTTCTATGGCAAGGTATGAAGAGTAGAAAAGGCAAACATACATTCAGGTACTTGGCTTATTTTAAAGTCTTGCTAACTTAGCTGCAGTACATTTTGTTTTAATACTATGTAGCACTAGTTAGCAGGTTTACATTTTCTGCATTTATAATATGCAATGACTCTGATTCTGTAGTCTTGCACTATTTTAAATATTCTTGTAGCTTGTATGGAACTGCTGAGGGGTTTTTAGATGCTTTCTGTCCATTGTCATCTCAATAGTGTTCCCTTCAGGACCGGAAAGCTTACTTAAGCACAAAGTGGTTATGGAATAATGTCCCATAAAAAATCCAAAAGAGTAAACACAATTCCGATTGCTTCTGAAAATTTTCCTACTCAAGTTTGACTATGCTTTAGGACAACAAGGAGGGAAAGGTGCTTTCATCTGAGTGGCTGCTCTGCTGAGTTAGCACACTACAGAAAGAAAGCACAACTGATACAGTGCCACTTGCAACTTAATTTTGCATCCTTTAAACCGTGGAATTTGGGTTTAAAGTTAACAGCTGCTGCTTAGTGAGAACTAGACTAAAGACTATAAAATGGGTCTGATAACTTAACTTTAGTCCTTTTGCTTGTCAAAATCAGATAATGTGGTTACATCAATCTCTCCCTAGTACTGTTGCTGGACTAAAATTACACTAGATCAAGAATGTAGCTGTTGTTGAGAAGGTTGAAAACTAGGTAAGAAGCAGCAGCACATATGTGGGAAACAAATTTGCTGACCTACAGTTCTGGGGATAAAGATGAAGTTTAGTGTCCTTACTACAATGATGTGGTGATGGCATCACCATAGGTACATAAAACAGATCAGTTATTTGAATTGTTAACCACCTGCTTTAATTATCAGTATTTCTACAGTGCTGAAAATTTATTTCAAAGCTAGAATAATGAGAACTAATTTTTCTTCTATGAGAATAGTATCATGTGCTGCTTTGAGTACCATCCACAAATTCTTAAGGATAAATAGAATATCCTTTACAGAGGTAGTGCTCAGTTAAGACATGTCTCTAAAATCCCTGAAATGGTTTCAAAATAGAAGCATGGATCAGAACCATGTCAGAAATAGATCCCTGGCAGAATCAGTTAGGTATGTTTACTATGTATGATCGTGCCAGTTCTATTTTGGCTCTTTGCCAAGGTCATGTAAAACTTAACATCACTGGAAAACTTGATTTACTTGTGAAAGAACTGGTAAATGCTGTCTTTTATTAATCAGCCAATTTTATTATTTTCAGTACACTACTATTTGTGTATCAAGTTGGATTTCAAAGCTGGTTGGTTCTAGCTTTGCTTTGGAGAGTTTCTGTTAAGTGATTCTCTCCAAATGGACCCAAAGGGATTTTAATGAGCTTTCTCACAGATCTGTATATATAAAGGGTTCCAGTAAACTCTTCAACTAGACAATACAAAGCAAAAAATAACTTGTATTGAATTGACACTGTTTTAAACCTTTTTTCACAGCAATTTCGAATAGGATGATAGAGCGGATCTTCTCAGGGGCAGTAACAAGGTACTTACTTTGTATGCTGATCTAAATCCAATTCAATATTTGCTTGTTAAACTGTATGATATTCCCAGGGAAAAAAAAGCTTTCCCCTTGCAATGTAGCAATGAATTTCAACATTTATTAAGTAACTTAAACTCCAGTAATACTAGAGTGCTGTTGGAATCTTTGGCACACTCCAAGTTCTTCACTCTCCTTTCTTTACCCATGTGAACATTTGTCACTGGATGTGGTGTGATTTAGCAGGGCTGGGAATGAGGAAGAGAAGAAATGTTGGCATCATTGTTTTTCCATCCCTTGAACCTGTAAAATGTTCAAAGGGAACTGAGATTTTAAGTACTACTTGTAAAATAAATGCTTATTGCATCAATAAATTTGCAAAAATGCCTCCAGTTGAGTTAATTTGCATTTTTGACAGTCATTTTTTCTTTTTTCCCCTTTGGATTGACTTCCTCTTGTGTATTTATGGCATCTTATTCATTTTTGAAACATACTGCTAGCATGGTATCTGCAGTTAGAAAACAACTGATAAACAGAAATAACAAAAGCTGAAATGAGTGAAATGACACTTGGCAGGCACATGTCTACTAGACCTTACTCCTTTTTATGAGTTTTTTGGGCAAGACAAAACATATACCATATATTTTCTTTTTATTTCTTGAAAATAAAACAAAACAGAATTTGGAATTGAAACGTAATATATCTAGGAACTGCCTACCTGACTTTTTACTAGACAGGTTGACTGTGTGTCTTCAGAACTTATTTTAGTTACTGTGTTCTGTGGTATGTGAGTAGAAACAGACAATTATGTTCTTGTCCTCGACACTTCCTGAATATTTCTATTTCATTTTCATTTGCATTCCAAAGCTTTTAGCTACTGAAGTTCAGTAAAGCTTTAACTTCTCATCACTTCTACCTGAATAGAAATTCTAAAAAGCATATGTACTTGTATATAACATATCATTAAAAATTAATTGAGATATCTCTTCTGTTAACAATTAAGCAGTGGCTTTGCTGCCCAGGGAGAAAAGCTGTAAGTCCTTGTAGGACAGAGTGCTACCTTCCTCTCCAGCTGCTCCCTTCCTCTTTACCATTGCCTTAGAAATAGAACAGAGCACACAAGCTCCTTATCCTGAATGATCAGTGTAGTCTGTGACAAATTACCTTATGAACACTGCATCATTTAGGAGCTCATAGTTAATAGCAGCAAGGAAAATAATCCTTCATTTTGATTAGTAAAAACTAGGTGTTCTAAAATAAATTTTCTCTTTCCCCATTGGCCTTCAAGAGGTAGAAAAGCACAAAAAGATGGGAAGATTAGCTACGCTGATTTTGTCTGGTTTTTGATATCTGAAGAGGACAAGAAAACACCAACTAGGTAAGTTTATGTTTTAACAAAGACCAACTTTATTGCTTTTCCAGTCCTGAGATGGGGGCCAGTGATGCACAGCTGGAACTCTGATGGAAGAAGCTAAACTATAAAAACATGAGTGGAAAACTGGCCCAGTTCATTGCATCATTCTTATTTATCTGTGTCTCCTGTTGTTGTTGCTGTAGAAGTCTATTTTCCTGACTTTTAAGAGGCTAATTCACTGGTTTTGTTCCGTTTGCTGTGTGTGGCCTACTTATGGACAGGGTCATACATAAAGGAAATTGCAGTTGTTTCATGATGCCAGTGACTTTGGGAAACTGCAGCTGCTATGAGTTGTATGATATTGATAAGAAACCTGTGATGTGACATGTTGAACAACATGTTCAATGGCTTGTTCAATATGGGAAAAAAGCAAAATACTGAAGTTTTGATGCACTTTTTCTTTGGCTCCCTTGATTTTTATTTTTTTTATATAAAACCATGGGTTTCAGTCTTCTTCACACAATTAACAAATGCATTTTCAAATGCAATACTGAGTGGCAAATACCAGAAACTTCTAGCACAGTAGGTGGTGTTTAATGACTTTCTATGGCATTATGGAATGTAGTCTTAAGTCTAGTTTTGCCTTTAAAAGAGGCAACATGAATTCTTGAAATTCTGTAGTAAGTTTGTATAAAGAGCTCTTTGCTGTTACTGAATTTCAGCATTGAATACTGGTTCCGCTGCATGGATCTTGATGGGGACGGTGCTTTGTCTATGTATGAATTGGAGTACTTTTATGAAGAACAGTGCCAAAAATTAGATAACATGGCCATAGAACCTTTGCCATTTGAAGACTGTTTATGCCAGATGCTGGATCTTGTAAAGCCACAACATGAAGGTAATAAAATCCTTCTCCATCCTTCTCTTCTGATTCTCTGGGTTTAGGAGTTGGTGCACCTGTAAGAGCACTGAGTTGGTCACACACATAATATGCCTTGAGGTTGTCTTTTCACTAAAGTCTGTTAGAACTTATTAACTGATTGGTCTTCCAACACCAGGCAAGCATTCCTTCAATACTAAAATTTAACATGCTGCTTTAAAATTCCTTGTAGGGTTTTACTTTGGCCTTGTAGCCACATTTAGTCTTAAGTGAAATCTTGTCACTGTCTAACTGAGTTGATCCTCTCAAGAAAAGCTCTTGACTGTTCATCCATTCTCTTGCCTGTTCCAGCACTCATTTAATTAAGATTTCTTCAAAAGGAACAGTTTTTAAACAGTGTTTGTCTCTGTAGATCAGTATTAAGTTATTTTACATTAGAACCCTAAGCTGCCCTTAGGAAATTCTTGAGAAGAGGCTTAAAATTAAGTGAATAATAAACTGTTCTGAGTTTTCAGCTACTTTCTATGTCCATCTGAACCTTCATAGACCTATATTCTGTTCTCCTGTTCTCTCTCTTTTGCTGATAAAGCTTCAGTTTACATTTTACACAAGAAACAGTTGTCTTTTATTGAGATGTGATTTTTTGCACAGGGAATTGAAATTACTCAAAACTAGAACTTAAAGCTTCATATTCTTATTTAAACAAAGTTAAAATGGATTTGCTACGTGAAAACAATTTCTAAAGGCAAATAAAAAAATTGTAACTGAAAAGGAATATAAAGGAATATGAAGTATGATTCTTCTGGAAGCTCAATCCTTGATATCAGTGGAATGAAGTCTTAGACCAACACTGTATAATGCATGGGGGCTGGGGAGCATTTAAAATGAAGTGAAGCAAGCTCTGAAAAGCACATTTATGTTATATGGTTGCTTACAACCACCTCCCAAGCTCTGTAGTAATTCCCTTCCAGTGTTGTACGAAATGCTTCTGAAAGACAGAGGTTTCCAGTAATGTGTCTGTTCTGCATTTCAAATGAAACAAGATTGATGTATCTCCTCTATGTCATGAGGATGGCAAAAGAAGGCTATGGAACACAACCAAGATGAGTTATTTAGGACAACAGAAAGGAAAGCCAGTAGTGACTTCTTTTAATATAAAAACTGATATGATGTTTAAAAGGTGGATTAAGAAAAAATTCTTCTGCTCTCCTAATAAAAAAACTATCAGCAAAAAATAAAGTTTCACCTGGTAGATTTGAAACAAGAGATGATACTTTCATAAAGTTAGGGCTAAAATGTGGTACAGTTTGGTACAGGATGCTTACGGAGACCTGAATTAATTCCTTCAATTTCACTCTTTTTCTTGGTGTTGGAGGGACAATGAAAGGCACCTACATGAGTGTTGAGTGTCTGAGCTCCCACTGCAATAAACGGAAACTGGAAAGCAAATAAATGAACCAAATATAGGAGTCTAACTTAAATTGGGAGCTTATATAACTAGGACTCAAATCATTTGCTTGGTTGTGGAGAGCTGCTGCCACTCGAGATGGCCCAGTGCATGAGACATCTGTGTGGGTCTGACAGATACAGCACAGGTGCCATGGGGGATTTGTGTTGTTCTGGAGCCAGCTCTAACCCAGAATACGCTGAGGCACTTCACAACAGATGCAAGTGTGGCAACCATTTCCAAATGGGATTTGGCTTTTGCTTTCCTGTCATGTCCTTGAGTTACACTTTTTTAGAAGCTGGGACAGTATACTGAGAAAATATTTTTCCAGGTCTGGTTTTTATTGAACTCTTCTATAACATCTTCAGTTAGTTCCTATTTGGTTGACGATGGAAAATTGTCTGTATTCCAGGTGAATCAATAAAGGGGAGTTTTAAGGATAGTTATCTGTCTTTTCCTTCCCTGAAAAATTTCATATTTTTCAGCCTTTCTGCAGAAGCTTAATATTCAGCTTTGAAATAGGGTAACATTTCTGAGCAACAGACAAATACTTCTAATGCTTAACAGATCCATTGATTTGAGTCTTTAAAGTATCACTCTATAAAAATCAAACAAAACACCTCTGAGAATTCAGCTTTCCTCTCAAGCAGTAAATATTGATCAGGCTGGACAAGTGTGGCAACCTTGTCTCTATGAAAAATTCATCTGTACGAAGCACAGTCACACACTGTCATCTGTGTCATACATTTGTCTGTTCAAGTCAGGGAAGAAAAAGGGTCACTGCCATAGGAGATTCCTACCTGCTACCCAAGCACTCCTTGGGAAGGAATTGTTAGCTCACTGGAGACTTCTATCCCTTGAGGAAGCTTAAACAGTTACCTTAAATGACTTTTAATAGCTAAGTGAGGTAGACTGTATCTCACTCCAACATACCAAAGGACAGTGGGATGACAGCCAAAGCAAGGAACAAACCTGAAACATTTAAAAGTTCTGTCCACTTTGAAGGACAAATCTCTAGGTGTGTATTTCATCTATTCACTTCCTCCCATTGCATTGAGCATCAGTGACAAATGTTCTTGAGCAATGATGATTGAGTAATGGTGACTTAGCTTTTGAATAGCATTCCTTCTCTTTGGAGAAAGGATAAGTTCACCTCTAATTATTTTACCTCTAATTGTCTTATAATATTCTTTACAGGAAAAATTACCCTGCATGATTTAAAGCGATGTAAGTTGACAAATGTGTTCTTTGATACTTTTTTCAACATCGAAAAATACCTTGACCATGAACAGAAGGATCAGTTTTCTATGTTGCGGGTGAGTACGAAGCTTTAAAAGTCTTTATAGCTATGTGCTTAGCAGTTGAAAAATTTTCTTTATATAACTTGCAATGTGATTGTTTAGGATGGTGAAGGTGAAAGTCCAGAGGTCTCTGACTGGGAGAGGTATGCTGCTGAAGAGTATGATATCTTGGTAGCAGAAGAAGCAGCGAGTGACCAATGGAACGACGGGTAAGAGTGTAGCACAAGGGTTGGTATGAGTCCTCTCTAAAAGAAAAAACAAGTCCTCAAAAAATATGCAATTAATGGTGTAGGAGACTGTCAAGTACAGGTGTGTTAGCCAAAACTGTTATTATGGTAGAATATGCATCTCTTTTTGCAAACCCTAGTTTTCAAATGTGTTACTTGGTGAAGTAAACCTTTGGATGGCTTTTGTTTTCTCTTTAAATCCGTGCTGAACTCATGGGAGAAACCCAAGGTGCTGCTCTATTTTAGTGTTCATAGTGGATTCTCAGTATTTAACTCTTCTTTGCCTTATGTCTTTCTCTGAAATAACACTTCTCCTAACCAGCACATAATGCTTTTATAAACTATGTTTAAATAACACATCCTGTAGTATCTAAGGGTCACTCTCTGCATAGTCCTGTTAAGTAGATGGAAATAATCAAGTGTCGAGACGAGATTCAGTAGTGCTTGGGAAGACATGAATGAACCTGAGTCACCTTAGCCTAGGAAATGGTCAGTTCTTTAGTCCGACACCATAAATATCCACAGACTTATTTTTTTAAAGGATACAAATTACAGATTGATCCCACGTAAACAGTGTTGAAGCTACTCTTTTTTAAATATCAGCATTCACTGACTTGAGTTAGTTATCCATCTTTTCATTTGCATCACCAGCAGGTGGTTATCAGTGCTTTCTGGTTAAACAGTTGTCTTTTGCTTTCCAGCATCTGCTTAAAAACACAGTTGCTATTGCTTCCCAGTGCTCACACGAATTTTAATAAGACTCTCAACTGAGTATTCTGTCTCTTTTGTCATATCAACTGCTGTAGTTTGTTCTTTGTAATTGAGCCTCATTTTAGCTTTCTTGAAACTTCAGGGTTATTTGGCAAATACTTAGTTGTGTTTCTAACCTATGCATAGTCCACTGGAGCAGTGTGTGCTTTGAATCCCCTCAGTAAAGCTGATATAATTATTACAGAACCCTAGTACTGCTTCTGGTTACGTGGTTCTTTACTGTATTTAATTTAATATTGGAAAATACGTTCTTCCTGCAGGTGCCATGTTAGTGTTCCAACTTTTAAACACTCCCTGGCATAGACAGACTCTTTCAATATCTTTTTTTGTGTCTACCACTAGGTATGAAGCAGAACTGAATCCTGTAGACCATCAGAAGGCCAATGTCCTAAAGTACCAAATGGAGAGAAGACCATTTTTTGAAATGCCTTCCCATCTGGCTGATGTAGACTTGGATGAATATGACTATGAAGAGGATTTTGAGTAGAGGTTACTTATGGTCAACACTTGCAGAAAGAGAAGGGACAGTCTGCAGCAGGTCTGCTATACACCAATACATTTCAGTGGGGTTTGTTTCCTGGAAGTCAGCTTAGTTTTGTGCTAAAAATATTTAATCACTACACTACCTTTTAAGTAAAAGAAGCGCATTTGTATGGAATGATGAAAATTTTTGTATTTATTCAATAGTTTATAGTTTTTAAAATAGATTAAAATATTTATTTACAGATGTTGCATAATTCCTTTTTGGAAGAATAACAATATTTGGCTTTAGAGAAAAGTAATCTACTGTTTTTTAGAGAACTGTATAATTCTCTCAAAGTTGACGTGTGGTGCACTGACCATCTCCGTCCTGCCTGTGAACAGGTATTTCTGTCCTGGTGTGGGAGGTAAGGAGACAATTTATACCTGGCCTGCAATGCGCTTACACTCATAGAGAGCCCTAGTGGATGCCTTGGCAAGGAAGAGGCATGACAATGAGTGCACGATTCAGTGCTCATTTACAAGCAGAGTTTTGTTTGACAGGCTGACCATATTAGTAGTATACAAAGAAAGCGAATGCCCAAGATGAGTTGCTTTTCTTCTGTGTAGTCCTTGTTTGCCCGAAATTTAATTTTGCTTGCCCTTCTAAACTTCAGTCTTTTCATTGATGTTAATCATAAAAAAGATTATTTAACAATGAAATCTGTTTTAGTGTTCACACTTGATCCAAAATGGGTGTGTTAATTCATGTAGAAGGAACCAATTTTTTTAAAAGATCCTTTGTATAAATGTTACTTGATAAGTGATGTGCACTAATTTGTTGTGGGCATTCAGTGCTTTTGTCTGTCCCCCCCTTCGCTTGTTTGCTATTGACACATTCCGTGAATTCATCAGTGTCACAGCAGCATGAAATTGTTGTCTCACTCTTAAATGTTAAACAGATTTTTGTTGGGGGAAAAGATGTACAAAAAGATGTAAGTTATTTTTTTGGTTGCAGTGTAGATCTTTAAAATGTTTAAAAAACATGTTTGTATTTTCAAATAAAGACTTTCCTACATGTAATGTAACAGTTCTAATTGTTACATACTGCACACAGTAATGTCTTACTATTAAAGAACCACTCACAATAGGATGGGTTACACAGGTATGCAGTCTGGTTGGATAATGACAACAAGCTGCATATTCAGAGCAATCAGTCTCTAGCAGGTTTTTCTTTGTCCAAAGAGAGTTATCGCTGAGCAGCTGGGAGTGGTGCAGAGAAATCTGTTCTGCTCTACTCACCACACCCTCTCCTGTACAGACCCACACACCTGTGTGTGTATCTTAAGTAATGAAACCGATTGCTAAAGTGTTGGGGAACCTTACTGAGGAAAACTCAAGTCATTTTAATACCATTCAAAGGATTCTTAAAAAAAAAAAGGTGATTGGGGTTGATTATTCCAGTTTTAATAGACTCAACAATGTCAAATTTCTGTTAGTTGGATACCTTTTGCTACTTGCCCATGGTTTGGAGCTTTTAAGCAGTAAAGATACACAGAACATTTATGTTAAGCTCTGTTCCCTAAGGTGCTGTGGGAAAGGATGACCAACCACCTTTCTACATGATCCTGAACATCTGTTGCAGTGCAAGAGGTGGTGGCCTGCTGCTTTATCCTACCTGAAACCCGTCCTAAAAAGGGAGCTTGTAAATGGGCAATGAACAGTCACAGGCTTTCTCAGCACACAGTGACATTTCTCTGGTACACAGAGCTATGGTGCAGGGTCGACCTCTCCTGCAGAGCTTGTAGCTGTTGTTGCCACTTTAATGAGGTGCCTGTTAAATTCTGCTCTCTATTTTACTTGTAATAACCAACTCCCTTCTTTCCTAAGAATAGCAAATTATGTTGTTACTATGGAAGTGCCTTTTCTTACAATACATGAACTATAACAATTACTGTACCTTTCCCCAACAGGGTAATTCCCATACAAGAATTAAAGCATCTGTATGCTTGATGTGGTCCCAGGGATAACTGTTTTCTTAGTCAAGCTGTATTCTGTCTACCTGGTGCATGCTTAGGCCTAAATCCACACATCTAGGTGGATTAGGGAATTATCACTACCATAGTCCAGTTACTGACCAAGTCACAGGGCAACTGAGAACTGCATTATCTTAGAAGTGCTACCTCACCCCTTGTATTAGCCCACTGCATCCCCAGCTCTGCAACAGGAAACACGGGTTTAGTGCTGCCAATTCAGACTGCCCAATACCTGGGAGACAGTCATGGCTTTTCACTTCCATGTTTATGGGAACTCCCTTCTCAGCCTGCTGAATAACAGAACAAATGGGAAGGTCAGCAGGCATTGCTGCTCTTCTTTCCTCCAGACATGGCGTGGGAGTATCGCTTGCACATTCAGTACTAATGGATAGCAATAGTTCTGTAGTTTATTTTACACAGTTACAATCCAAAATATATATATATATATATATAAAAAGCTGATAGCGTTACTGCAATATACAATTCCATGGAGCAGTGCCAAAGTGTCAGTGAAAGCACCCACCACTCCCCCCCTGCTGCCTCTGAAACACTTGAGTGAAGATCATTTGCAAACTCTTAATGAAAAAACCCTACTTGTAATTACCATATTTACAGTGTATTTACAGTGTCTTTCCAGGCTTTACATTTTCCAAGCAAATACCACACAATCACTGTGTATAAAGGATTTCTTCCAGAGGAAAGTACTCAGTCAGCTGGTCTGCTGTTTCTTCCTTTGTTACTTAGAAGCCTTGATGCAGGTCTCCTGGGAACATGTCCTGATGCCCACAGACCACTAACCACATCTCTCTAAGCAATGCAATTTAGAAATACTTTCAGATGATTTGATCCAGGTTTTCCATTTTACAGGCAGGAAATGGCACTTGCCATCATCCAGCAGGTCACAGTGTTCACAGCTGGGCCAGGCTCCTTTCTCCCCAGCATCAGGTAAGAGGAAACAAGTAGGTATCCACCTTGGTTACCTCCAGTGGTAAAGAACACATCCAGCAGATTCAAACAAGCTTGTCTCACCTAGTTCACAGTCTTCGACTCAATATTTGTCTATACCCTGATTCCAGTCCTTCAGCTGTTAATTTTTCCAAGGCAGCATCAAGGACCAGGATGCAGTTGAGTAACGATGCTCATAACTCCCACAGCCTTGGAAGTGCCGCAGCCACATCAGCAATGCCCACAACCAGCAACAGCGAGAAATCAACCGCAGTGCTACAAACTGGTTCTGGGTGGATGCCCACAGGCACAGATTCACCTTGATGTGTCTCCTGCTGTCTCAGAGGATGCCCTCACAACCACGTTTTCAATTTAAACAATTTGCACAAAAAAACATAGTGTGTTCTTCACTTCTGTTTCTCCTCTCAGTGTCTTAACTGTCCTAGACCATAAGAAAAGGAAATTAAATCAGCCTTGACTTATGAAGAAGACATTATGTAAGAGCACATAAGGAATCTGCATAACATTGTAGCATCTAACCATCCACCAGCTTGTCCATAAAGCCAGCTCTTGGAAAGAACTATATTTAGCCTCCACAAAAGGAAATAAGCATTTCTATACCCCAAGGAGCCCAGAAAAGGCACTACAGGGAAAGGCCACACACTGAATAAGTAGTGCATTTTATATAAAACTTTAATCTTGCTCCATGGATTTAAATTCTTCTATTATCTATCTTCAGTAGGAGCTGCTCCAAGTACGTGGTCCAATCAACCTACATTTTAACACACATATGACTTGAAGAAAAGGTAGAAGTCCCTTTTTTCCTTCTAGTCCTCTTTAAAAACAAAACAAAAAAGCCCACCACTCATATGAAAAGGAACTCTTTGATCAACTTTACAGGAAAAACTCAAAAAGTCAAAAATCATGCAAAGTCTGAATGGGGCTTTAGATCCCAGATAGCCAGAGCCACTGGAAATCAAGGGGTTGCCTTACTCACTTCAGAAAACTATCTGCCAAACACTGAGTTAGCTGCGTTCTAAAGTGCAGAGAGCAGGGGAAAATACAGGAGAAAAACCTGAAGGAACCACTCAGGCTGCTGCAGTGGCTGACACAGTAAACCTTTAGAGGACAGAAGGGCTGTGAGTAGCTGCAGCACAGGAAAACTCATGGCCTGTCTTCCCCACTGCACCCCTTTCCATACAGTCACTCTGCAAGACCCTGCTGTACAATGTCCTATTTGAGTCCTTGCACTCCACTACCTCAAAGGCTTAAAAGTCTTTCTCTGCTGCAAGTATCCATTCCAGGGCTGAGCTGAGATCCAGGCAGACAGCTGCAGCTCTGCCAAACTTTGATCCCAAAGGCAATCAGTGCCTACAAGACAACCCGCCGGCTACACTGGCTGCCACTCCAAGCCCACAATGTTCTCATGCTTCCCTTCAAATCCCCAGCTGCTTTGGGGACAATTTAATCTGCCCAACAGCCTTGACTGGAAAAGGGCAAGTAACACGGGACACTCCAACGAGAGCTCTGGGCTGACCAGTGATCAGACACGTTCTGAATCTTTCAATCCAAAGAGCACAATGCAAACACAATTTCTGAAGCAAACATTCCCTGCAGGCCACGCAGCAGTGCCATTCTGCAATGTGTCGGTAACACAAAGCAACTGCGGCAAATGCCTCTTAATCAGAAAGCTTCACAATATGGCAAAAAGGAAATGGGATTCTCTTAGTGCATCCTAGCTGGCATTCAGTGTACCTAAGGATGTCTAGATGCTACAATAAGAATTGCCCTAAAATGCAGATCAAGCTGAAGGAGGAAACTACAGTTACAGCTGGAAAGGGAAGAGTGGAATCCCCCTTTTCTCACCCTGAAACGGACCACAAAAGAGCAGCCCCCCTTTGCTGCTAGATGGTTACTCAGGAGTCTCTGACCTCACATTCACCACCTCCACAACAAGTGGAAAACCTGAGCCAGGATTACCTGATCTGCACCAACAACATCAACATCAACATCTTCAGTTGTGCCTCCTGCTTGACCCTCCTCTGAGACATCTTCTGTCTTAATCTCATCTTTGCTGGAAATAAAAAAGAAACCAAAAAAATCTAAGTCTTGAGAAACCTCATAACAGAGGCTGCACATTGCACAGTGTGTTTAGGGCAGACACTTCTGCTGCTGATATCCATGTAAGGTAGCCTAAAATTACTGGCCCAGAATTTCCCAGGTATGAAACAGGTTATGCTCTGAGGAATTTCCAATAAAGCAGTTCAGAAACAAAACCTTGATTTAAACAGGGGCTACCTTCATGTTTAATAAATTTTTGTTCTATTTTACTTGTATTCACTGGGTCCATTTAACAAGTGTCCCTGGAAACCTGGAAAAGTATCCATCTTTCTGAGATTTATGTCTCACCTTTTAACCTACCAATATGGGAAATGGCACCTAACACCTCAATAAATTGCCTGTATTAAAGAAAACTATTGCAACTGAGCCCTTTGATTGATTTACAGAGCTCAGAAGTAGACTCCAGACTCCTACTTCTGCAGCACTTCTCATATCCAAGTTCTGTGGGGTTTCCCTTAGGCATGTGTGCCTGCTGCACAAAGACAGACACTCCTCTAAAAGGAAGCCACCAGTTACACAATAGTTAATAGCAGATCTGCAGAGACAAGAATCCTCTTTCATTTCCAGAGATGCAGAAAAGACTTATCATCTGGCTGCAGCAAACAGCCAGGGAGTAACCAACACCACAGCCCTCCAGTCAGGACCAGAGAAGTGGCACAGGGAACTTTCCTCCTTCCTTGTCTTTTTCTCTGTACACTCGATATTAGTCCAAGAAGGCACGGAAGCCCTGTGACAGTGGCAGGCTAAAGCAGCAAATGTAGATACTGGACTAAGGAAACATGTCCTTGGGACAGAGTCCATAAGAAAGACAGGAGGGGCACACATCCTTTGCCCATAAGTATTATCAAAAACAGAAGCAGAGGTGGATAGAGAGACCCCAACTGTCAATACTGGGACAAGTGAAAGAGGTTGTAAGGCATAAAACTCTCACCAGTATCTTCTGCGCAGCCCTCCTGGACAAAGGAATGGCAAACGTTCCTG